TTCAGGTGAGGCGGGCGGGGGCGGGCGGGAGGGGGGGGAAAAGGGGGGGAGGGGGGAGCGGCGATCCAGGCACCAGACGGCGGAGTCTCCCCTCGGGGTGCATCACCCCCCCACCAAAACACACACGCTTACTTCTTACCCCTCCCCCCGCAAACACACCACGTCTACCCCTCTTTCCCCCCCCCGGCAGGTCCGGGGCGGACAAGGTGTCCATTGGCAGTGATGCGGTGGATGCGGCCCAGGTGGGTGTGTGGGGGTATCGGGGAGGGTTGTATGGGGGGGGGAGGTGGGGGAAGGGGGAATTATCGCAGTCAACCCAGTCAAACTTAGCCCCACTCGCCCGCCGAGAAATGTTGTGTAAAGCCGTGAAACAGGAACGACAAGCTGACAAGCGCTCGCGCTCTCTCACACACACATGCACACGCACACACACCACCACCGTCACCAGCGTTTTTTGGCATCTCCCTGTGGTCACTATGTATGTATGTATGTATGTATGTATGTATGTATGTAGGCATATTACGTACGTGGCGGCGTCGCAGACGGTAGTACGGCAATTGAGCAGATCAGCGCGGTGTACGGCAAGCAGGTAAAAAGGGGGTTGCACCACCCGTCCGGACGCTGCCCAGCATGTTGACAGCTTTTCTGTCGGTCTGCATGTCTGTCGAGTGCTTTGCGCTGGTGGATTGTCCGTGTGGTTGGGATGACCTGCTGGGGTGGGGGCGTTGAGAGTTCTAAAACCCATTCGACACCCCATGGGGCGTTGGTTTTAGGGTTTTATTTTAGAGTGTACCAGCACCCCCAGCACATACCGTGGAATCTGGCCCCATACCAACGGCGGCGTCAACTCGGCGGTCTCCATCACCCCACCCCACCCCCATGTAACCCCCTTGCCCCCTGCGCGCCGCCTTTTTTGTGGACCATGAACCGGACTGATTCGGATCCAACTGTTTATGTACGACACTCCCTCTGTCAGGCCGTCGTCGTGTCCATCGACCCCCGCCGTGTGTACGTCACCGACCCAGCTGCCGTACCCCACACCACCGTCCGTACAGCCAAGGCCGGACCTCATGGCGAGCAGTACTGCTGGTGGCAGTGCACTGTTAAGGTTCGGCACTGGCAGGAACACGACGACGTGTTGTCTCGTGTTGTCTCGCTGAACGTGATTTACCCCTCTTAACACCGTCCCGATCGCCCGATATGAAGGCCTTTAAAAACAAAACGTCTGTGGTTGTGCGTGCGCGTGTGTATGTATGTGTGTATGTGTCTAGTGTGAAAACGGCAAAACTGTGTATATAGCTTTGAATTCTTTACGATGTGTTTTTGTTTTACGGCACGTACGGGTGTGTACGACATGCAGGGCGGGCGCGAGGGTCGCGACATTGGCGCTGTGGAGCTTGCGAAGGCTGTGGAGGCCCTTGGGGCCGGGGAAATCCTGCTTAACTGCATTGATAATGACGGAGTGGGCAAGGTGCGTGTGTGTTTGTGTGTATGTTTGTATGTATGTATGTATGTATGTTGTTACAGGGTGGTATACCTTCACCAGCGGCCCCCTTTCCCTTGGAGGCAGTTCCCTGCTCTCCCCTGCTAGAGGGGCACCCTAATCCATTCACCCCATCCGACTTCACAGAGTGTATTCGTTGGGTTCAGCAACTCACCACCAGCATCCAACCAAATCTAGCGGATCAACGGCGCCTCAACTTAGTTCCTGGTCAGCTTGCAAGTTGATGTAACCACGTCCTACAGCGTCCACAAGATGGGGGCCCACCTCTCAATATATGTGTGTGTTTTATTTACTCCCATGCTTGCGGTACTGCAATAGACGAGGGGGGCAAGACCCCATCGCGGCCCGCCCCGTCCCGATCTCCATCCGGACCTCTTCCCACAGACGGCCGTTTCACCCCACACACCGTGCTGAGCGCACGATCAATTTTACTCTCCTCCACTTCCTTGATAGACGTCGTACAGACTTACAGCCATACATACAGCCGCACATACAGCCGCAATATGTCCAGTAGCAATGCCTTCGCCATAACGTCGTTCCTCTGTCTGAAGAAATCCCCCTTACCATACATACATACTTACACGCACATACACACATATTTACATACGTATTGACGTACATACACACGCCGTACAGGGTTTCGATCTGGAGTTGGTTGACGCGGTATCCCGGGCGGTGACCATCCCCGTCATCGCCTCCTCGGGGGCCGGCTGCCCACAGCACTTCTCAGAGGTGATTGCAGCTGCACATTAGCGTGTGTGTATGTATGTATGTATGACTTAGATTACACTGTGTAATGTATGTATGTATCTATCTACGTGTTTATCCATGAATGTATGTGTATGTGTTCACATCTATGTTGGTGAGGAGAAGAAGTGGCGGGGGATGGGGATGAACTGGGGGGTACTGCATCCCGGCCGGAGTCAGACTGTGGGCGTGTTTTCGTGTGTTGGGGGGGCAGATGGAGTTGTGCACATACCTGTACGACACCCCCCCTCCCCGGACCCTGCCGGCCGCTCCGGCCCCCTCGCCCTTGTCAGCAGCTTCTCACTCGCTAGTGGTTCTTGTCTTCCTCCCCCCCCAACCCCCCCCGCCCTTCAGGTGTTCCACTCGACGGGTGCCGCTGCTGCTCTGGCTGCCGGCATCTTCCACCGGCGGGAGGTGGGCATTGCCGAGGTGAAGCTGCACCTAAGAGAACAGAACATACCCGCAAGACTGTGAAGGCGGTGTGGGTAAAGGAGGAGGAAGAGGAGGAGGCTGTCGTGATGGCAGACGTTCGTATTTTGTGGTGACGGTTGTGGTGGTGGGGAGGGGCACTCCAGGGTTCAGCTCAATGGCACGTGTTAGGGTGTGTATAACAGGGGCGGGCGGTGGGGGGTAATGTCACATCTGGTGGTAGGGTGTGTGTGGGTTATGAAAGTGTGTGGTGGGAGAGGCCGCCGGACCAAGTTGGTAGTGGCGGAAGAGCGCGGTCTGAAGTGCGCTGTACGAGTGCCGTCGTACAGGGTGAAGTGGAAAGCACGTGCATGTGCGCGTGTGATTTGTTGCGTGTTGCTGCACTCTGTAGGGACTGAAAAGAGTATGGAGAGTGGGCTTATGGCTGAGGGGAGTGAGGGGTTGTGTGTTTCTGTGTGGGTGAATACTGGAACATCACGGTGATTAGAATTTCAAGGAACGGATTACGTTGGCAAATGGGTAAAAGCGGGAATGTGCGGAGCAAACTGCCTTCTCTGTTAGGGTAGCGTGCACATAAACAAACATACATACACAGTGATCCGCCACCAGGTGACAAGACCGCCGTTGTGTGTGCGCATGGGAGAGGTGGTGAAACGAGAGGGCAAGAGCTGGGGAAACTGTTTTCTGAGTGTAATATTCGAATCGTGGCTGCGTGGATTTCTACAGTGAGGCTTCCACAGTGGTCAAGGCCTCCGCTGAATGAGAACAGTCAAGCCAACGTGTTAAGTATTTCCAGGCTTAGCTGATGTACCACCACAACGAATGGGCATGCAGTTTGTACGTCGAAGGTTTTCCCTGGAGGTACATTCCCATGTACGAGAACCGCATAGAGGCCAAGTCCTGTTCCCCGTGCAACACTTCCCCCCCCTTGTGTATGAGTGTGTTAAGAGAGCCGTTGAACCCGGTTACAACTTAGTGGTTCAGTTGGGAAGATTCGGCCACACGGGGATGTGACACCAGCACACTCAAAATACCGCTATCAATAAGTCATCTTCAAAGTTCTTCTCGCAAGCGTCCCACAGCCATTATACGCAGGTTTGTTCTACACTATCCGCGTATCATCACACGAAGGACACCTCTTGCTGATGCCACGCAAGGCAGAAGGGGCTACCCGGAAAACTGCCCCACCGGCAGCACCCGGCAACAAAATCGCCGACGCAGTCAGCGGAAGAAACATACTATGCAAGCGTGCAGGTTAAGGCACAACACGAACTGGTCCGTCAGCAAAGGCGAGGTCCCCGATGTGCACTGCTAGCTATTCAGTTCATCCCCAAGTTCCATATCAAAATATGCAAATTTGAAGGAAGCTCGCGTTAGTGCGTCACCAGGTTCCCAACCAATAGTCACCGCGGCTCGCGACTCCACAATTAAGGGCGCTCAACTTGCTGGATAGCAAGCAGTTTAGACCTTGACGCCCTCAGGCAGGACACGCTTCAGCACCTCAGCGCTGATCTTGTCCACCTGAGCATCCAGGGTCTGCAGCATGCCCGCCGACTCCTTCTCCAGACCAGCGATCGCAGAATCAACCTCGGCGGTGATCTTCGCCTTAGCCTCGTTGTAGGCCTTGTCCAGCTCACTCTGCTTGGCATTCTTCTGCGAGTTGATCGAGGCGCTGACCTCGCCGCGTGCAGCCTTGAGGATGGCCTCGGCCTCCAACACCAGCTTGTCCACATCGCCGGTGTTGTCCTTCACGGCGCCCAACTTAGAGCGGATGAGGTTGTCACGCTCATCTAGAACCTTGCCCACAGGGGTGAACCAGGCCTTTTCCAGGAAGACCATCAGCAGTAGGAACTCGCCAGCCATGACCGGCAGGGTCAGGTTGAAGTCGAAAATCTTGCCAGCCTCAGCAGCAGCGGGCATTGCCAACAGCGCGTTGGCAACAACTGCAGAGAGCGCCGGCTTGACGAGCTGCGCCAGCTGCTGAGAGGGCTTCTCCGCCTGAGCGCGAACGACAAGGCGCATGGGGCGCGCCGCAGCCGGCTTGGCAGCCGCGCGGGCGAACGCCTGCTGAGGACGGGCAAGCAGCGAGGCCATCTTTGAAATGTAATGTGGACACGCGTGCTGCCGCCTTGATGTAGGAGTGTGCAGGATTGGCTGACGCTCCCATCCGGACCTTTATCCAGAAATTGTACGACAATAGACTTGCGACCTGATCTTTTGGCGCAGTCAACAGGTATAAGTTGGTTGATTCACTTTTCATCTCCCTTTCAAACGGCAGGTAACTGTGCGCGAGCGACCACTGTGAGAGCGTTATAACGCTATCGACTTTGCAAAGGCTTCCTAACCAGTAAATTTAAGTCAGCACATCTCTCTAAGTACCAATATCTCAGATGCGTACAAGGAGCACAAGATGCGCAAGGTCGTCATTGCTTGCTTTGGTGGCCGTTGACTCGTTGACAGATTAGAGCGTCGCCAGGTCCCTCTAGTGTACTAATCACCATCTTACAATGTAATTGGTCCGAATTAGTTGAATGGGGCGCTGTATCAGCTTTGACATCTTCCATTCAGGCCAACGGCTTGGGCGGGCGATGCAAACGGTATCCCACGGGTCGGACATGAGCACGTAAAGACAAAGGACAATTATGAAAAGCGCCGAAGGGGCGAAGCCAAATGGCCACCACCAGCACCTCATGGTGCCCAGACTGTCCTACAGTGTGCTGCCTCATTTATCATGAGGAGCCAGGTAGCCCAAACGCTTTCTCATATTTAGTCGCTGCTTCCCGCGGCTCGCCTCGTAATTGTCAGCGCTCCATGCAAGCTCACTCCAGGAGGTGTGATGAAGAGTGTTGCTACGTCGTTGCAGCCTGTTGCAGCTGCCTGTTGTGCACATGGCCTTCTCACAGGGAAGATATGACAGCAAGGGGCCATAAGGGTGGCACCTGTATACGATGGGAAAGCGGACAGGGGCTGTGTTACAGCGGAAGAATGATGCATCGCAGTATCCCGGAGACCCCAACTCCTTTCCATCCAAGCACACACGCACAACCACACCGGGTACACAATGACCTGCGACATTTTGTGAGCGAATAACCGGGGAGGAGGCCACACCAGCCTGCCCCAACAAAAAGGCTGGCCATAACCAAATACCCTGAAAGAGGCCCAGTGGCAACGCTACATGGCGCCACATCTTCCACCGCCTCCTTCCTCCTCCTCGCTATCCCCGTGATGATGCGACTCCGGCACGCGGCACAAGCAGCCAATCGGTCCGCCGGGATTAGCACCATCTTTAACCCAGGAAATAATGGAGGTTTTGGAATATATCTTCTGTTTGTGTTACATGGTCGTGGGTGCGTTCCCCCTACCTGCAAACCGTCCTAATACGAGCCGAGGGCTCAAGGGCTGCCAGATCGCATATAAGCACCATCCTATCTCGCACAGTATCTTCTGTAACCGCAATAGTCAACATGTCAAACAACAACAACCCGCAGCGAGTACCACACACATACACACACATGGCGTGCGGGAGCACCCTTCCTGGAGTATCGTAGGAACCGTATGTCGGTCTGTGTTCACTTTTCTGGCCTTCCTGCTTCCCGCCTTGTCTCCCTATTTCTTCTTGGTCCCACCCGCATACATACACCCGGCGCTGCATTGTTACGTGTCTTGGGTCTTCCCCACCGGGCCCTGGCGGGCCCAGGCTATGTTGGGTGCGCTCGTGTGCGTTCGCTGTGCTGCTTTGAATGGCCCTAGATTTATGCGCATGGGGGTGTAGTTGGAGTTGGAAATGTTACGATGCGGGTGGGGATATTTGCGGTGGGAGACAGAGCGGGTAGGCTTAGAACGTCGCGTGAAGGTGAGGGCGCGAGTCGGGCAAGGGCCAGAAAAGCACCTGGTCTTCGGCAGGAATTTTCATGGTGATGTTTCACGTCACAGGATGAATTTCGTTTGAGGTACTCAGTGCGCCATGCTGATGTTTGTGACTGTGATAGGAAAGGGGACTTTTACATTTGGCTCCGAGACCATGAGACCAGCGCGCGAAAGGTATTCTCTGACCTGACAGGACTTTTGCGATGGGTCTTTACACACAAGACATTTGACATACCTGACTCGTACCTTTTAACCATGCACGATTGCTAGATTGGACCTTGGGGACAAAATGCGACAGCGAGCTGCGCAGCTTCGCAGCGCTATAAAAGGTTGTCCCGAGGCTTCAAGTGTTGGCAACTTTTGAACCTAGATGAAACCTGTGTAAGCATTGATACTTAGGTCATCACACACCTCCCAAGCCTTTTGTCACTGCCCGAAACCCGCGAAAACCTTTTGTCTCACAGGTCAAGCGGGTTTGCGCAATGTAAACAATTTCAGAAGACCCAAACTCAACTGACCCGACTTGGACGGACTCGACCAGCTTGGACACAACACAACTCTTAACCCAACGGTGACGCCACCATGCCGACGACAGAACCCAACGCGCCAGCAGCGCCCAGCATAAATAGCATAGTTGCCAACATCAGCAGCAACGAAGCCAAACTTTTGGCGCTGGAGCGGCGTCTGACCGGAGTGGACCCGGGAAGGCCAACCAGCAGCGGGTCAATCCTCGTGGGTAGCTTCTCCCAACTTCCCGGAGACCGTGTCTCAACATCACCTCTACCAGCGACAACGCCTGGCAGCGCCACAACCCCCGCAGCACTGCCTGCTGCTGCTGCTGCTGGCCCGCAGTTCCCGCCAGGTGCGCCATGCGGCGGCAGCGAACCAGCCAGCAAACGCCGCCGAACCGCCGGGCCCCCGGACGACAACCACCCCCCGACCGCCACCACCATTGCCGCAGCCGCGGCCCCCGCGTCGTCGCCCCACTCCCGTCCCCCCCTCTCGGACATAAGCCCCCTCGGCGCGGTGGCTCCACTAGCGCCTACGCCACCGACGGCTATCGAGCCGGCGGCAGCCACCGCCGATTGGAACTCCGCCGTACGGCACACAGCATCCTGCACTCCCCTCGTTGCCGCTGTTGGGACCCCTCCGCCGCCGCCCCTGCCAGCAGCGGCGGCAGCAGCAGCGGCTCCTTCCCCAACCCCTCTTAGCGTGGTCGCGCTACCGTCACATCAGCTACAGCCGCAAACTCTTGGAAAACAGAACGTTGCAGCAGTAACCGGCGACGGTGGCGGTGGCGGTGCCGCTGGGGCCCCCGCCACCAGCGGCAAGGCGCGCGCTCGGAAGCGCAAACAGCAGGACCCCAAGCATGAGGTGGCGTTGGGGGTCAGTGCCGCCGCCGCCGCTGCTGCAGCTGGGGCCCGTGCGGGAGTGACGACACTGGCCACCTCGCCTGGAGGCAATGGTACGGCAGCAGCGGCGGCCGTACAGGTCCTTGCTGGCGGTTTCGGAGCGTTGGGAGCTTCCGCACCTGTTTCGACGCCGCGAATAACCCGGGGATCAGCGCCGTATCAAACAGCAGGTGAACAATGATGTTGATGATGATGTTGATGATGAGGGTGATGATGTGGGTTAGGAAAAGGAAGTGGGCCGATGGGGGGAGTGGGGCAACAAGTCGGACGGACAGTGTGAGGACGCCGTGCATTGTGCCGTACTGGCAGTGCACGTAACGCTGCGCCGTACGAAACCCATTCCCTGTATGTGTATATACACCACAAAGTCGAAATGAACCGTTGCGGTATCCTGACAGCTCTCCCTCTCATGGTGTCATAAGGCCCTCAGCAGGACCGAGCCGCCGCCGCCGCGGCCGCTGCCGGCGGAGGCGGAGGGGCACCCGGCAACAACCCCCAAACCACCCCCCCGGGCATCGCACGTCATCTCTTCGAGGATACCGGGACAGCGGCAGTAGCGGCGTCGGGGCCTGGTGCCGGCGGCCGTAGCAGCAGTAGCGGCGCTGCGGGTGGTAACGGGCGAGCAGTGGCGGCGGCCCCAGCGGCACCGCCGCCAGCGGCGCCGCCGTCAGCACAGAAGCGGAACATAATGAGCTACTACCCGCCCGTGCTCGGTGGTAGTACGGGCGGCGGCGGCGGCGGTGGCGGCAGTGCACACATGGCGGCGGCGGCGGTGGACCAAAACTCCCGTGATAGTTTGCCGCCGTCGCTACAGCAGCTGCAGCGGCAGCAACGGCTGGAGGTAGCAGCGGCGGCGGCGGCGGCAAACGCCAACACCCCCGCTGCAGATATGGCCGGGGATGGTGACGGCGGCGCGATGTCATTGTCGGAGCTATCGGCGCTCCAGTTGCGGCAGTCTCAGCAGCAAGTGATTCAGCTACAGGTAGGGGTGGCGGGTGGGGGTGGGGGTGGGGATGGCGGGCGGGAAACAGAGAGAGAAAGAGGCCGTCGAAAGGTTGGAGGTGGAGGTGGGGGTGGGGGTGGGAAGGCAGGCTGAGGGCCTTGGGGCGCTTAGTTGTTGGCAAGTTGGAAAAACGGCCCAAGAACAATGCCACCAACACCAACAACCCGTCGGGAGCTGTGTCTTTGATTTGATATCACTCTCCCCGTCCCTCCGTAACGCATGCGTGCACATTCAACTAGTCGACCTTCAAAAACACATCTGGCAGCTCCCCTCCCCCACCGCCGCCCCCACATCGACACCGCCATATCTCCCGTCGAGGCCCCAACCTTGTCTTGAATCAATACACACACACACATCCATTTCCCCCCCCCCATTTTGGACGTGGGCTGTTGTCCCCCCTGCCCATTGACCCCCCCACACACACACACACACATCATCCCCCCCTCCTTGCCTTCCTGCGGACTTTCATCCCCTCCCTTTTTGGCGCCAAGTTCAACCCCATTGACCGCCTATCCCCTCTATGGTGTCAGCTTCATTCGCCTGAGTGGTTCGTCTCTACCCCCCATTGGATGTACCTTGTATTCCCCTCCCTCCCTCCCTCCCCCTCCGCCCCCGCCTACTGATCAGTTCTGCTTCCTGTACATCTGCCGCAGCACTCTTTCCTCCTGGCAGCAGCTTCACTCGCTCGTGGTTCGTCTTTCCCCCCCCCCCCCTCCCCTCCAGGCCCAGGTCATGCAGGTCCAATCCGCCTTGGCTGTCCACCAGGCTGCGGCGGGGGCGGAGATGGAGAGGCTGCGGGCGGAGCTGCAGGTAAGGAGCGTGCGTGTGTTTGTGTATGGGTGTGTACGGGAAAGGAAGTGATAGGGCGCTTCCCTGGCACAAAGTACGCTATTGATGTTGCTCAAAATCTACATATTGCGGATCTTGGGATGAAACCCATTTTTCATTAGGTTCTGTAGCACTAAAATCCTGGATATTTTTTCTGGGCAATATGTCCACGGGGCGGGCATCTGCATTTGAAGGATAGTGGTCATTAGCATGACATGGACAAACAGACAGATAGACAGACAAACAGACCAGCTTGGAAACCTCCCCCGGGAACTTCCCGCCGACTTCCCAACATCTTCCCCTCCCGTCCTCCCCCTTCACTCGCTCGTGGTTCGTCTTCCCCCCTCCCCCTGGGCCCCCCCTGGATAGGCGCGGTGTCAGGAGGTCGCCTCCCTGGAGGAGAAGGTCCGGCTGGCGGAGGTGGCGCTGCAGCGGGCGGCGGCGGGGGAGGCGGCGGCCAGGGCGGGGCTGGAGGCGCTGCGGGTGCGGGGTGTATAAAGGAGTCTGTGTGCTTGTGTGTAGTGTGTATGTATGTATGTGTGTATGAATGTATGTATGTATGTATGCATGTATTGGGGAGGTAGGCGAGGGAAGGTCCCCGGTAAGCCGAATTCCGAACACGCGTTTGTTGAGTCGTTTCTTTACCCCCCTAAGCCCCCCATAGCCCCCCCACACGTACAGACATACCCGGTGTTTCCATCCAACACCTCCCCGCCCGCCATTCTCACCGAGTACACTCCCCCCCCGCACCCGCACCACCCTTTTGACTCCACCGCAAATGCACACGTGCGTACACATACACATGTCGTACACATGTCGTACACAGGCTGCCAGTGCCAGTGAGGCCGCCAGGTGGTCGTCAGAGGCTGCTGAGTCAGCACGTGTGGCTTCGGAGCGGGAGGCGAGGTACCGCGGGGAGCTGGCCCGGCTGGTGCAGGTCCGTGTGTGTGTATGTATGCATGTATGTATGGAGGTGACAGAATGGGCTTTGGAGGGTGAGGGGAGTTTTCGGGGGGGGAATAGGGCGGACGTCGGCCCTTCGCTCCTTACATGTGAAGATATGATTGCCCCACAAAACCCCAATCCGCTCTTCGAATCCCGAACCATCGATACCTCCCCCTTCATACACAAACGCACACACCCCTTCCCCTCCCCCTCTCCCCCCATCCCCACCCCTCAACACACACACACATACACCCCATTACCCCTGTCCAGGGTAATGCCCGGTTGGAACGCGATCTGAGTCGCAGCCAGCTGAGCGCCAACTCGGCCCGACTGGGGGTCCTGACGCTGATGCGGACGGGACCCATGCAGATGGCGGAGGTGAGGGGGGGGGAGGGGAGGTGAGGTGAGGGGGGAGGTGAGGGGGGGAGGGGGAAAGGGGAAGGAGAGGTGAGGGGGGAAAGGGGAGGGGGGAGGCG